ACATTGTAACCTTTGAAAAGAAATAAATGGTTTTTTTTATTTTTTTAAGGAAACCCCCCTTTTGGGGGGAAAATTTTGCATCCAAAAATTTTCCCTTCGTATCCAAAAAGAAAAAAATCGAGGGAAGGGACAGTTTTACCCAGAAAAAAATTCGAATGGCAAAGGCGTTTAAGCTGGGTTTCCCAAATTTTTATTTGCAACACCTCCAATTCCCTCCCCTACCCATATCAAAACCCTTTTTAAATCCAAAAATTTCCCAATAAAATTTTCCCCCCCTTTATTAAATACTTTTTCAATATATGCTTCAATGTAAACCCCCTGATTTACACATCTCCCCACTCAAAAAACCCCTTGTTTCATTTTGCAACCCTACACTGTTTGCCTTAATTCTTTCAAAAAATTTAACCCCTTAACCATACCCTTTTCCTGGTTTACTAAGGAAAACCCTTTTTCCTCTAAAAATTTTTTAAACTTTTTTTGCCCCCCAAACCCCTTTAAAAAAGAAATTAAACTTTGCTCTCTGCCAATCCCTGGTCCCTTTCCCCCTCTTTTTATCCCATTTTTTAAAAAAAAATACCGGGCCACCCCAAACCCACTACATCCTCCCTGTTTTAATATTTCGGGTAAAGACCCATCAGTTCCAGCTGTTTTTACCCCCTTTCACTTAAGTAATCCTCAACATCTCCCCCAAAAATGAATCCTGCTCTTTTTCACTTCTAAAAGAGGGTTTTATCCCTCCCGGGCCCAAAGTGCATAAAAATTAGCGCCCCCCTTTTTTCTTCGTAAAACATTTAAATTTCCCCAAAAAATTTTTTCCCCACCATCTCCCCATCTACTAACTCCCTATCTGTTTTTAACTGACAAATCCTTTCTTTTCCCCTGGGCCCTTTCTTAACCTGTTTATCTCACCCCAAAATTTTTTCTTTTTTTTCATCAAAATTTCTTGACAGTGCCCCCTCTCACTATTTTTGCTCTCCTTTTAACTCTCTCCCACTCTTTTCCCCCTTTTTTTTACTTCCATATACCGCTCTTATAACACTTCTGCTTTGTAAAATTTTCATAAGCTCCTTTTTCTCTTTTATCACCCCTTTTTACTTTTCATTCCCCAAAATCACTCCTTTTTCCCCCCTCTGCACCCCCCCTCTTAGACCCAAAAAAACTTCTGCCCCCTTTCAAAAACCCTGCATTTTTAAAACTTTCCAACCCCTCTTCAATCCTCGAAAACCCACTCATATTGCACTGCCCCCCTTTTTGCCAATAGCTTTTTTAACCCCCCCCCCCCCCCAAATTTTTTTCCCCCCTTTTTTTATACATTTTTTAACCTCTCTCACTTTTTTTTGCCTTTTTCCCTTTTTGTCCATCTACCCCCTTACTCTAACTGTAGTTAAAACCTAAATAATGATTCGATAATCAGTTTGCCCTCTGAAAAACATGTACAACCTGGCCTAACCCATAAACCCTTTTTATCCCCCAATTTATAATCAAACAAACTATTTTTTTTACATGTTATTTTATACTTTGTATATTTTTATTTTACCCTTTTTTTTCATAAAAATAATTATTTAAATTCCCAAAAAACCTCTTTTACACAGCTAATTAAAGGCCCCCCTTTTCTTTTTACCCCTGGCCCCCCAAAATTTTTACCTACAAACCCCCTCCACATTTTTACCTATTTTTGCATTAAAACCCCCCAACCCACAAGTCCCTTCAAAATTGGTTCAAAACCCCCCCCACACATTTCACTAAAAAAATTTCCCCAAAAAACTTCTCTCTCCCCTTTACATTTCTCTTCTTCAGGTGCATTTTTTGGCTTACTATAACCCCACTTTTCACACCCAAAATTTTTATTTTACTCCCTAACCCTTTGGAATTTAATACTTTTATACCCCTTTTTTTCTGCCATGGGTTTTATCCTTCAATATTATTGTATATTTCCTTAGCTTTTTTTAAAAACCCTTTGACTAACCCATTTACTTCCTCCACAAACTTCCCACCCCTTCTTTTTTGGGTTTCATTGAAGTGAAGACATCCCAATTCTCTTTCAAAAAGGAAGTTTTTATTGCATTTATGGCTTTAGAAAGGCATATGTAGAGTGGTTTGGGGAAGCAATGTGGAAGATTTTGCAAGTATATAGAATAGGTAGAAATTTACAAAAAGCGGGTAAAGAGTTTTTTAGGTAGGAGGCTCGGGTTTTGGGGTTTTTTGTGGGAGAGAGAGAGAGGACTCTTCCCAGAAAAAGTAGGTCTTAGACAGAGATGTGTAATGTCCCCCCAGGGTTTGTTTTAATATTTTGGGCATTTTAAACAAAAGTGGAAAAATTTAAAGGGGGAATCAAAATACAAAATGGGATTTTGACAGTTCCCTTTTTGGGGATGATTATTGGGGTTTATAGGAGATTCAAAAAGAAAAATTGAAAAAGTTAGTGGCCAGTTTGGGGGGGGGTTGTTAAAGGTAAAATAGTGAAAATAGTTAAGAGTAAGGGGGATGAGGTTATCAAATGTTTTAGAAAAAAAAAAATTAGATATCACATTGGGAGGGGAGTATGGAAGGAAGTAAAATTGTTTTCAGTTTTGGGGGTTGCCCTGTCAGCGGAGGGGTTTTATGAAGGAAAAGGGTTTTAACCACGAAATGAGGGAAGAAAAAAAAGGTTGGGGTTGTGCGTTGAGGAGGGTTCTGTGGAAAAAAAAAAAACATCCATGGAGGAAAAAGAATGTACGAAAGTATATGGGTGTGAAGGGGGGGTTGCAAATGCTGCACCCAAAGGGCAGCGGGAAAGGCATTGGAGATGCCCTGTCTTAAGGCCCAATTTGTAGTGTAAATACTAGCAAAAAAATTCGGATTTTTGGGAAAATTTAGTAGGTGGTGTGGGACTAAAAGTATTAGTCGAGGGTGAAGGGGGGTTGTTGGGGTTTGGTTTCCCGGCATTTAGAAAATGGATCAAAGTAGAAGGGATTTGGGGACGGGCATTTTAAATCGGGTAAAAAGGAAGGGGGGCCAAAGGGGTGGGAAAGTCTTCCAAAAAAAGGGTTTGGGGGGGGGGGGGTTTTAAAAATAAAAGGAGGTTTTGTGGGAGGGGGGCTTGGACTTCCGAAAAGCATGTGTGACCTATCGATAGGAGTGAATGGGGGCAAATGGTTTTTTGGCCCTGATGGGGGCTTTTTGGGGGGTGAGCAGGGTAATTTTTTTTAGTGAAGGGATTCAGAAAAAAGGGTTTTTTTTTATATAGTTTCCCCCGGAGTACTGGAAATGGGAAGTAAAATCCCTGCACTTTAAAAAAGGGGGTTTTTGGGATAGGGCCCAGTTTGGAGGGGTATTTTATATATCTTTATTTTTTCTTTCTTTAAACCCCCGGCCCGTTTTTTCCACGGGGCCAGGGTGGCCCCAAAAAGGAAAAAAAAACAAAAGTTTCTCCTTGACATTTAGAAATATTTTACAGGGGAAGGGTTTACTACCCCTTTGGGCCCCCGGCATTTTGTCCCCTTTACAAAAACGAAGGCTTAAAAAGAGGAAAATTCTGTTCCATTTCCCCCATGGAGGTAAGAGGAAATAAAAAACCCCCAGAAAGAAAACCAGGGAGTGTGTGTAAATATATTTTTGTACATGTATGTTTTTATTTGTGCCCTAAGTGCAAGTAGAAGTATTTAAGACGTCCCTAAATTTCTTGCATGTTTATGGGGAACGATAAAGACCCAGCAATCCTACCATCTTTTTAAAACAATTACGGGGCTTTTGTTGTCCACTCCTTGGCAGGATGGTATTTCCTCCCTGGGCGGTTGCTGTTTCCAAAACCTTTTAACCTATGATAAATTTTTATATATGCTTCAAAAACTGTTGTATTGAAAAAACCTCGGGAAAGGGACAGTGATTATGTGTGGGGGAGGTGAAAGGGGTTGAATGATGATGAAAGTATTTTTTTTTTTGCATAAACCCTTCCCGGGGGGAGAAAACCCAAACTTGTTGAAAAAAAAATTGAAAAAAAAGAAAATTTGCTATCAAAAAATTCAAACAAAATTTTTTTTGGGGAAAAAACATTAGTTATGTAAGAAAATGCTGTCAGTGGACTTTAAAACTTGTTTTTGTTAGGGGAAACCGGGGGGGCTTTCACTTGTGACGTGGCGAGCAAATAAAGGGAAATCTATAAAGTGTACTTTATTTTTTTTCCCATGCCTAAAATTATTGCTGACATTTTTAAATTGTTTTAAACACAAATCACTAGCGGGGTTCGTGAATAGAGGATACACTACTTTATTCTTATCGGGAAAAGCAATTTTTTTAAAGCCAAATAAAGGAAATTTAACGGCCCTTAAAAGGGAAACTATCACGGGCCTAGCAACCCTATCTAAAATTCATAGATGATAAAACCCTTGGGAAAGGGTTTTTTCTTTATGACCCCTCTCAAAAGGGCTAGCTCAGCACCTTAGATTAATTAGTCTTTTACACTGGAAGTTCCCCCACTCAGACCCCCCTTTGGGCCATAAAGGGTGGACTCCCATTAGGGTGTCAAAACTCATTTAAAAAAGGAAACACAACACCCCAAAATAAATTCTCTTGAATATGCTGTCCCAATACACCCAAACCCAAATTTGTTTATCTGTTAAAAAGTTCTGGGAATAAATCCCCAAAGCCTTGACTAGGCTTTTTGTTAAAAAAAGACTAGTATTCATTTTTAAAGAATATTAAAAAAAAATAGGAAGGTTAAAAAAAGATGTAAAATTAATGTACTGTAATAACAAAATTTTAGTTTTTCATTTTTTATTTTGTGTTCCGAAACAAAAACCCAAAAAAAAGGATTCACTAAACCCTGGATTGTTTGGGTTCCCCTGGCAGGCAAAGTGGGTAAAACATGATGACACTATTGGTAGCCCCACGGGGCCATCTGGGCCCCCAGGAACAGAGGGAAAAAACCCAGGGACTTGGCTGTGTAAAGTGGGACCCCCCATGGCTCCCCCTTGTTGACCCCAAAAACCTCCAGCCCCTTCATGGCCCCCTTCCCAACCCACCAACATTTTCCCCCCCAAACCTTCATCATCCCCAAGAATATCTTTTACACTTTCAGAAAAACTAATGCAGTAAGTGTAAAAAAATATTACTTTAAAACACATAATGCATATAATTTATTTTTTAAAAGTATGGTAAATAAAAATATCGAAGGGCAAAATAATTTCCCTTTTTTAAATTTTTATGTATTTTATTGTATTTTAAAGGGATAAATTTTTAGCCAGACTTGAGTCTGGAGGGGGGAAGTCAATGCCCGCCCCCTGTAAAAAGGGGGGGGTTGGGATATTTTTGTTTGGAGGGTGACATTCAAATGGCAAATTTTGCAGCCCTGCAAAGAAAAGTGTTTTTGTGTGAATGATGATAGTGTTGAATGTGGTGAAAATTTTTTTTTTTTTTTTTTTCCCCGAATTTCCCCTTTATAAATTTTTACCCGCTCACACTCCCAAAAAATGTTAAGGGGCCCAAGTCCTTTTTTTCTCCATTCACTCCTATCTAACATTTTCACGCATGCTTTCGGAAATCCCAAACCCCCTTTCCACAAAAACCCCCTTTCCCCCCTCCTCAACCCTTTCGAGGAAAGACCCCTACCTCGCCTTCCTTCCCCCATAGTTTATTTGCTTTTCCCTGGGCATTTACTTTTATCCCTTCTCTCTTAAAGGACCAAAAACCCCCTCAAAACCCCCCTTTTTGCCTTGATAATTTCTTTTATTAACTCCCCACCTTTTCCCAATTTTCCCACTCCCAATTTTTTTGCAAAAATTTTAACCCCCAAAATTTCCCCTTTGAAAAGGACCTCCACTGCCCCCCCGTCTCCTCGCTGCGCATTTACCACCCAAAATTCACACCCCTATAAGGTGTTGGTACTACCATACTTTTTACATTCCCTTTTGCCCCATAGATAACGGTTTTTTTTTCTCCACATATTTCCTCCCAAAGCACCACTCACCTTTTTTCCCCCATAATTTTATGATTAACCCCATCCTTCATAAAACCCTCCCCGACCGTCAACTCCCCAAATATTGAAAATTTTTTTTCTTTTCCTATCCTCCCCCCCCCAATTTTTATATCCAATTTTTTTTATCTAAATATTTGATTTCCCTTAAACACCCTTTTTCTTTTCTATGTTCACTTTCAACTTTTTTACCTTTTTAAAACTTTCCCAAAAAATCATCCCAACCCTTTTCAATTTTTCTTTAGAAACTCCCATAAGCACGTTCCCCAGCAAAAAATAAAAATGTGTTAATTCCCCTTTTTAAATTTTATTTTCCCCCTAATTTAATCCCCCCCTTCCCGAACCCCTTTGCTTTATTCTTTTTCAAAACCCCCCCCTATAAAAATATTAAAAAACCCCTGGTTTACATGACAATCCTGTCTAAGGGCCCACTTTTACCCCGGGGGAAATAGTCTCCTTTTTTTACACACCCCAAACCCGGCCTCACTATCCTCATAAAAATCTTTAAGCATTTAGTAAATTACACCTATTCCATTTTTACTTGCAACATCTGCCACCCGCTCCCCGGGATTTCCCCTTTCATATGGGCCCTTTTTTAAAAACCATAAATGGGAAAAAACTTCCCTACCTTTATCTAAATACTGTTCAAAAAATATGCTTCAATGTAAAAATTGGGTCTAACATCCCCACCCCCTTGAAACCCCTTGTCATCCGAATCCCACATTCTGGGCTTACCCTTTATTCTTTCAATATAACCCTTCCTTTCACTTTTCCCGGTATATTCAATAAAAATTATTCCTTTTAAAAATTTTTACCAAACTCTTTTGGGCCCCTTTTCCCTTTTTTTAAAAGGGGCTATACATGTCTCCCCCAAACCCCAGGTCCTTCCCTTTTATTTTTTTTATTAAACAAAAAATACCAACCACTCCAAAAACTTATCCCCCCCCGGCCTTTTTAACCCTATCTCTCAGATCCCAAACGTTCCAGGGTGCTTTACCCCCCTTTTTTTTTACGTAATGCCTACGTTTCCTCCCCCCCCCCACTTACATTCTGTTTTTCTTTACTTCCCCCCAAAAAATGGTTTCCCCCTTTTTACCAGGGCTGAAATTACCAAACCCCCCTTTTTTCCCCAAATTTTTTTAAATTCCCCAAAATATCTCACCATTTTAACCAAAAACCTCCCCCTCCACTTTACTAATCCCCCCTCTTTTTTTTAAATGACAAATCCCTACTTTTCCCCTTGGCCCTTTTTTAACTTGGGTTTAAATCCCCCCAATTTTTTTTTTTTTTTCATTAAAAATTTTTTGACAGTGCCCCCTCCCAAACTTTAAATTTTTTCCTTTTTTCCCTCCACCCCTTCTTAAATTTTTTTACATGTCCTATTTCTCTTTTTTCTTATCACTTTGCTTTGTTTAAAAACCCTTTTTCATTTAAGGCCCAAATTTTTTCTTTTATCACCCCTTTTGTATGTATATATTAATTAAAATAAAATACATTTCATATAAATTTTTAATTTTTTTTTTTTTTTTTTAACCCAAATCGGTCATCTTCCCCCCGAGGGAGGGGGGGGGACCAAAAAAAAAAAGAAAAACCCAAAAAGAAAAAACTTTCATCATCATTCAACACTTTCCCCACACTCAACATTTTTCACTGCTTTTGGGAGAGGTGCTCAGAATACAAACGTTAAAACATATACGTTTAAAAATACACAAAAATATCCCCCAAATCCAATATCCCCAAAAAACCCCCTTTAAAGTGCAGGCATTGTATTCCCCTTTTTCCCGGATCAAGTCCAAAATATATGAAAAAAACCGGGTTTCCCCGAATCCCTTCACTAAATATTTCCCCGCTCACACTCCAAAAAGATGTCAGGTCCCAAGAACATTCGTCCCCCTTTCCCCCCTATTAACAGTTTTATGCACGGTTTTCGGAAATCCAAGCCCCTCCCCCCACAAAACCTTTCCCTTTTTTTAAATTAAAAAAATTTAAAAAAATAAATTTTAAATTTAAAAAAGAAGAGCAGGGAAAGTAAGTTTTTTGGTGGAGGTACGTGAGGGATTACGTAGAAAAGAAAAGGGGGGTTTAAAGGCTGGAAATGGTTGGGTCATGACGGGAAAGTTAAAAAACAAGGGGGGGGTTTAGTGTTGGGTGGGGGGTTTTGGGACTTTTGTTTAAAAAATTATGAAAGAGGGAAAGGTACCTAGGGATTGGCATAGTGCAGGGATAACCCTTTATAAAAGGGAAAGGGGGCAAAAAAGGGTAAATAAAAATTATGAAGGAAAAAGTTTTCTGGTATACCAGGAAAAAATATACGGTTTGGGTTATAATTGAAAAAATTAGGGGGTAGAAGAAGTTTAGGATTGCGGATGAGAAAGGGAAGGGGTTTTTAGTGGGTAAGGGATGTGTAGATTAAGTGTTTACATTTAAGCATATATGTAAAAGTATTTTGATAAAGGTAGGGAAGTTTTTATTTTTTTTATTGGGTTTTGAAAAAGGATATGATTGAGGGGGGTTTTAGGGCAAAAGTGGCAGATTTTGCAAGGATATGGAATAGGTGGTAAGTTACTAAAGGGTTTTTAAAAGCACAGAACTGCTAAAAGCCTCAAAAGATGTAGTGGAAGTTTTAGCAGTAAAGGTCGGGGAAACCCAAAAACCCGTCTTTTTGGTAGTTTACAACCTCCCGGGTGCAACATCCAGCAAATTCCAGGAACCGTGTTAAAAAATTTACCCTGTCTGGAAAATCTTCCAGTCCTGCACCCCAAAATCTTGTTCCCGGGGGATTTTAACTTAAGGGGACCTTAAAAAAAAGGGGAAAATAGCAAATAATATTTTTGAAGTATTTAACCCCGGAGGCAGCTCTGATGAAAATCACACTCACCCGGCTTTTTAAACTCTCTGCACAAAATTCAATTTAAACCCGCAAAAAATAGAGCCTCTAGACTGGAGAATTTAAATAGACCTCCTTTTCCTAAAAAAAAGATGATTGAAAAAAATGTCACCATTCAAAAAAAAATTTTACTCAGATCACAAATAATTGAGGTTCAGACATGTATGCGTGGGCCCCAGACCACATAATGAGATAGTTTACGAGGGAGCATTAAAAAAATTCAACTTCAATAACAAAAACATAAAGTGGGGACAAGTTAAAAAAAAATCCCAAAACCCATATAAGCTGGGGAAAATATACAAAACAACACAGGGCCCCCAAAGTTTTGCTAGAAAAAGATTTAAATGGGGGGGGTGGCACTGAGTATGACAAGGGGTTATTCCTTAAGAAAAAGGGGGGGTAGATGTAAAAAAGAGGGGACAGGCGTCCCCTTTTAAAGGGGACGGGAAAAAAAAATAACAAAAGCGGCCCAAAAGAGGGCAATATATTGAAAAGGTAGGGGGACACTGGTCAGAGAAAATTTGCAAGCATCACTTAAGTTTAAAAGGAAACTTATAGGGGTCAGGAATCGCGGGAAAGGGTAAAAGCCTAAATGAAAATTTAAAGAAACCAAAGTATTTTTTTCTCCTAGGGCCAAAACAAAGTCGGGAACAAAAATCCCCGTAAATTTGGGCCCCCCACTCTTTAAAAAAGAGGGGCCTTTCACAGATGACAGCAAGGAAATGAAGTGAGCTACTCAAGGCCCAAAATTTTATCAGTTTTTTTGGGAAAGCCGCTAAAACCGACTTTAGGTTCGAAGATCAAAATTAATTTTTTTTTAGAGAGCCACAAAATTTGGTTAACACAAGCTTCGAAGTTAACCTGACGCCAAAAGACTTCGAACGGCGTAAATGAAAATGCCCATTTCCCCTTGCCCCCGGGCCAGCTTCCCTGGAAATCCCGTTCATCAAAAAAACTGCAAGAAGCCCCTATCACGAGCCCTTTTCCCCCCCCCCTTTGGGGAGGGAGATGGACCGGGGGTTTGTCCCAAATTAAATAAAAACAACAGACATAGCCCCACTCCACAAAGGGGGGAGGTAAAAAAAAGCAAAGAACTACAGAGGATTGCACTAACATCCCCTATCATAAAATCTTTTAAAGGGGTCCTAGAAGCAAGTCACACCCATCTAGAAACCCTCAGTTACACAAACCCC